CATTGATCTATGTGTCTGTCATTGTACCAGTACCATGCTGTCTTTACCACTACGGCAGTGTAGTAGGATTTGAAATCAAGGAGTGAGATACCTCCTACTGTTCTTCCACTTTCTAGTAGAGTGTCTGAACATGCTATATTTCTATAATCAACAAAGATAATTTGTTCCTGAGACTCTACCTGGGTGCTAGGAGTTTCACAGGAGGAGATAGTGGTTCTGCAAGCCAAGACAAACTGCTAGGAGCATTCAAGTTCTGCAAACTTTTATCTGTGGTCAGGCCAGAATTAGTGGTCTTAGTGGTTACAATAATGAGCTCAAGTACAACACTGATGTGTGAAGATGGCATAGTATCAGGTGGTGCTTTTTTATATGTCAGGTCATGGTGAGTTGGAGTTCACTTGATGGCACCTAACATCACCATCAACCTTATCCACAGCTGTGTGCGCTTTTGTTTATTCAGTTGATTTGTTAGTCCTGTGCCTGCTGTCTGCAAGACTCTTGGAGGATTCATTTCCTTCTGAAAGTTAGTTCTGCTTTAGTACTGGGCGAAGGGGTACTTCATTATTAGAATCTTAAATACCTGGTTTCCCCGATGAGGTACTTAGGCAGTATCATTTTGCTGACTTTGGGGAATAACTTGGTAGGTGCCTCTGCCCATGGAGAGGTGCTAGAGAGAATTGTGGGGTAGGAGGAATGCCTGAGATGTTACTGTTTACTCTGAGAGACTCAGAGACTCACCAAGTCTTTACTCTATCCAGGTGAAACATTTTAATATTCAATAACAAAAATCGTGTGGGGCAACAAATAGCAAACAACTTAGTTCTGTGGAAGCTATGATTACTCTCAAGGCTTCTGAGGAATGGCCAGTGTCGGTGGGGAGAAAAGCATGGACTCGAAGTCAGGAAGCATGAGTATTTGTAATGAACAAAGACGATAATATATGTTGGACATTCCCTTTCTAGCCACCAATTAGGTGACATAAAAAAATGCCAGCATGAGTTTAAAATGAGTAGACCCTCTAGTTAGATTTACTGTGGGGATATATATTGATGGAATAGTCTAATATGGGGTTCAGGGCAGGCAACCCAGGTTGAAAATCAGTTATCTTCCCTGCCCTATTAAAACCCCCTTCGTTCCTATTTATTTACGTGGGTTTTCTTCTCCCTTTCTCCATCCCCCTTTGTATCTGGTATCTCTTCCCTTGCTTCTTCCTTCTTTCCCAGGTGTGTTTGATAACTGCTCCCACATTGCCAATGACAAGGGCTGGGCCCTGGGCATCGGTTCAGGGAAGGACAAGAAAAGGCGAGATGCTCGCTTCTTCTTCTCTCTGCGCACCGACCACATGAAGAAAGCCACTGTTGTGACTGGCCACAGTCGCTACCAGGCAGGCATGTGGACCCACGTGGCAGCCACATACAATGGACAGCGAATGGCCCTGTATGTAGATGGAACTCTAGTGGCCAGTAGTTTAGACCAATCTGGTCCCCTGAACAGTCCCTTCATGGTATCCTGCCGCTCTCTGCTGCTGGGCGGTGACAGCTCTGAGGATGGGCACTATTTCCGTGGACACCTGGGCACACTGACTCTCTGGTCCAAGGCTCTGTCACAAAGTCACCTCCAACACAGCCCAAAGCATCCTAGTGAGGAGGTGGCCTTGAGAGACCTGATCCTGACGGCCACTTTTGAGCCCCTGGGAGAACAGTGGGTCCCCTTCAGGGATGAGAAGAACCCACGCCTTGAGACTCTCCAGAACTTTGAGATGCCACTTGAGATTCTGTCGCCTCTGCAGCCCCCGCTCTGTGGACAAACAGTCTGTGACAATGTGGAGCTGATCACCCAGTACAATAGGAACTGGCCCCTTCGGGAGGAGAAGGTGATACGCTACCAGGTGGTGAACATCTACGACGACCAGGGCCTGAACCCCACGGTGAGCGAGGAGCAGATCCAGCGGCAGCACGAGGTGCTCAACGAGGCCTTCGGCCGCTACAACATCAGCTGGCAGCTGAGCGTCCGCCGGGTGCACAACTCCACGCTGCGCCACCGCATTGTGCTCGTCAGCTGTGAGCCCAGCAAGATCGGCAATGACCACTGCGACCCCGAGTGCGAGCATCCGCTCACAGGCTACGACGGGGGAGACTGCCGCCTGCAGGGCATCTGCTACTCCTGGAACCGCAGGGACGGGATCTGCCACGCGAGCTGCAACAACATGATGAATGACTTTGACGACGGTGACTGCTGTGACCCGGAGGTGGCCAATGTGCGCAAGACCTGCTTTGACCCTGACTCTCCCAAGAGGTAAGGGGACCCTTGCACTGGGGTGTCTTGCTTGGGGAGGATGTATTTCTAATACTGTTTTATCTTTTGGTTTCTGGAGACAAAAGCATGTGCATATAGACCAGCACTATCTCCTACTTCCCGTGCCTCCTCACCCACCGAGGTAAGACTCATCCCCAGATCAAACAGTTTTGTTGAATTCTCATAAAATGCCAAGTAGTATATTCAGGGATATAATAACGATGAAGACAGGCCTTCCTCATGGAACTCACCATCAACATGGAACAGATACCTGTGTTCACAGGTCTGTGATGCAACCTAGCGTGACATGCACCTACACACTTTATATATCAGATACTTGGGGCTGGTGAAAGCAGGACATCTCAATTTACTAGAGGGAGTTGGGGAAACTTCACAGATGACTGACTAATCAGGCAATACCAATGAGACACACTTACACTTCCTGTGGTCTTAGGATATAAGCAAAGGAATACAAGCCTTTGAAGAGGCTTCCTATCTGATAAGCCCCTACTATAGTTACACAAGCATGAGATAGTCTACATCTACACATCTGAGAAGCATTCCACCACACTTCTCCTTCAGTTGACTGAAGCCTTCCACTCTTGCACTCTAAGTTCTGTTCTGTGTACAACAGCCAGAGGATCTTTTGAAAAAGGAAAATCAGATCTGCCCGCACAGAGCTCTGGCCCATGCCTACCTCTCCAACATCACCATCTCCTTCCACGTCCACACTCAGTCATGTCAGCCTCATTCTGGGTTGTTTTGAATGACCAAAGTCTTTCTTGCTGTAGGGCTTTATTGCTGCTGTTATATACCATGGGGGTGAAGTGGACTTAGAGCTAACCCTTGAGTGAGTTTTCATAGACTGCAAATCACACAGGAGGTGATGGCCCACTTTTCTCCTGCTGAACAGTTGGTGGACTTGAACCATGTGCCTTCTGGTTGGCAGTGCAGTGCAGTGCAGCTTCTTACCACTAGGACCAGAGCTCCCTAGCTATTGGACAGGGTATTGGATTACCCTTGATCTTTCCCTGATATATTCCCTAGTCATTCAAATATTTTGAAGACTCTTCTCACATACTTTGGGCATGTCAGAAGGGACCAATACCTGGAGAAGGACATCATGCTTGGAAGGGTGGAGGAACAGCGCCGGAGAGGAAGACCCAGGACGAGATGGATAGACTCAGTGACTGTGGTAATGAAGTAGGTCTGTCAGAGACCGTGAGACTGGCTCAGGTTTGAGCAGGGTTTAGAGCCAGGTTTAGTATATAAGGCCGCTGTGAGTCTCAGGTGACTCAATGGCACATAATACCAGCAATCACCTTCAGGGAGGCTCTTTCCTGATCACTCAAATTAAAGTAAATTACATCACCTTATTCCAATCTTCTGTCTACTATGGTCACTTCTCTTTTTCCTCTGTATCCATTTGTGATTTTGATTACTTACGACGACAGCTCTGATCAGCATACCTTATTTACTGCCATGGAGTAGATTCCTACTTAGGGTGACCCTCTAGGACCGAATAGGGAGCTCTAGTGGCTTAGTAGTAAGAAACTATGCTGGAATTACAAAGGCACACAGTTCAAATCCATCAGCTGCTCCATGGGAGAAGGATGGGCAGTCTCCTCACATGCATTAACTATCTCTGAAAACCTGCCGGAAGGTCAGCTATGGGCCAGTTCTGACTAGGTACAAAACAACAGCTACAACAAAGATAGGGTAAAACTAGAGTTCCCAAGGATTTCAACTGGAAGCCTTTGGGTTGCTAGCACAACTCCTTCCCACTGAGTCACTATAGCTCACTTGGAATGAATTAGAAAGGTAAAAAAGTAAATGAGTATAGAGTTTTAGCTTTATGACTATACATACAACCTGCCTTACAAACATACTTTTGTTCTTACAATTACTTTGATATTTTTATTAAAAAATAAGTTTCTGCTGGAAGACTGCTCAAAAATTTTGTAGAAATCATTTTGGTTTCACCTCCTCTGATAGTATCACTTGGTACTGATGGTCTGCACCCTCTCTACTCCGTTGACACCACTGGAACTAGAAAAAGTCAGAGGTGGTTGGTAGATACGTTAATTTGTGTTAGCAGGCAAGGTCTCCCCAACACATAAAGGGACTTGTGTAAGAAATAAAAAGACTCACCTGAGCTAAGCAGAGGTGGAAGGACTGGATCTCAGCTCCCATCCAATATGTGGACTGCAAGAGGGGCTTCAGACCTTTTGTTCATAGGGTCACTGTGAGTCGTGCTCAACTCAAAGGCAATCAATAACCTTTGTGTGGCTAGAATTTGCACAAGAACTGTATAACCTCAGGCAGTTAGGCAGATTCCAGCCAAGGATTTGGGAGAACTGTCTGACATCAGTGAACACTAATAGGCTCCTCCAAGGCCATTCCGTAGTTGAATTTTAGACTTCTTACTTAACTTGCTATGTCAATCAGGCAAGTTTCTTTCTGAACCTCTCAGATGCTTTGTCTGTAGGGTGAGGGTAATTGCAATAATAATTTGCATTGTCTATAAATCAGGTTAAATGTATTATCTATTTATTAGGATAATATGAAATACGATTTGGGAAAGTACTGTTAACTCTGAAGTGTTCAACGTCCAAAAATAGTTCTAACATTAGCTCTTTTTACCATTATTACAGCTGACAGATGGGAAACCTTTATTTACGTAACAATAAGCAGGGAATTGATCACCTTACTAGAAATGTTTGCATAGGAAAGATTCTGTTTGGATTTGGTTTTCAGATTTGGGTAACCTTAAGCAGAGGTTAAACCTCAGCATCAAGAATGGATGCCAACTTCTAAGATCCCTGGGGGAGATGCGGAAGTTGCTCTCTCTCCTCCTTCTGGCTCGTTCTCCTCACCACTGGCCTCCCTCTTGTCTGAGAAAGCTGTCCCACAAGGTACTCAGGCCTCATTCACTTTAGACAATTCTTTGTTTTAATCTCTACAACCACTATCCTTGTAATTCCTCATGTAGCTCCTTTATAACTTATCAACTGCATTGCCGTAATTGTCATGACACTTATCTGTGCCAGTCTGTGGACCCAGGCAGTGTTTCCATCTTTTGTTCATTGGAGACTAGAGCTCTTTCCTCCAAATAAAAACAAACCCAAACAACTTCGTTTTTGTGGAATACAGAGGAACTATTTGTTCTATTTGTTATGTAAACATATTTAAATCTTACTAATAAACAGTTATAGTTGAAGACAATAAGGGAGAGCAAAAATCCCCTGCCCAACTCCTTCTTCTCTGCTCTCCAGCCTCACCACCACCACTCCACCTGCAGGTACCCATACTTAATTCTTTTACCTGTATCAGCTGTAGTATTATATTTGCATTATTGCATATATTGCAGAAGCTGGTTTGGCTTCTCTTTGAGCCTCTAGGATCACCATCTGTCTGTGTATGCATATCTTCTGTCCTAATCTGGCCAGTCCGGCCCTGCCACCACAACATGGTTTCAGCATTCCTCAGGCTCAGCCCATATCCCTATCTGGGTTTTCAGGGAATTCAAACAGGAAGTTAAGAGTGAGGCTGCTTCAGGGTCTGTCCCACGTGTCCATCCAGACTCCAAGAGGAGTTGATGGCTCTCAGGGGACAGATGGGTGGGAGGGGCAGACCCTGTCCAAGCAGTCCTCATCACTTGGCAACAGATGAGATGGCATCCGGAATCCTGAGGGCTCACCGTCCCTCTCCACCCCCAACCCCAACTCGGGTGGAGGGGGAGTAACTATTACAAGAGCCTATGTTGATGAAGGTTTGACGCAGCACAGACTGAACATCAGTGGTGGACCTAAGAGCATCTAGCATCAGGAGCAAGTAGAGAAGAGCAGTGTCACTGGGGACACTGAACCAGGGCTTCATGGGGATGGCGTCTGGTTGGCTCCTATAAGCTCCTGAGGAGTTGTCCAGGATCACAGTGCTGGAGAGGTCACTGTGCACCACAGAGAGGTCCACATGCAGCTGCCCAACTCCAAAGTGCAGTGCTGTCTGTGGTATCTCCACTGGAGCATGTTTTAGCTGTTACTCAGTTTGCCACAGCAGAGCCATAAATCTCCATGCTTGCTGTGAACACTACCAGCTCATTCCAGTGTCTCACCACTTCTAAGAAATTCACATGAGGTCTCTTATGTACAAAATTCTGGACAGGATGCTTGTCTATTAGCACAGTAAGGGTGACGCCGGGTGGAATTCCAAGGCAGACTGTGGGCCTCAGAACCCCATCCTGGTGTGAGTGTCTATCTAGATCCAGGATCTTCCTCTTCATCTGGCCTAGCTGATTCTGGAATACAGGTGATAAAGGAAGGATATAACATTGAACTGTTTGGTATGGATTACTGTGAGGGTCTGCCTCTGCAAATGGTAAATGAAGACGCTCCAGAGCTTAGCATGGAAGGTTATGAACGTGCACAGCCCCAGCAGACGCTGAGTCTGCATCATCTCCATGACCCTGGAACAAGCAGCCCTGGAGCACCTCCCCCGTCCAGCTCCCCCACACCCCCGGGGTGGAGGAGCAGGGGCAGGAAAAGCTGCAGAGAGGGATACCAGGGAAAGCCCAGTGGTACTATGAGTGGTACTTGATCAACCCAACTGCACATAACAATAATAATATCTTCCTTACAGTAGGAGAATTGATGCCTTTGAGCTGTGGTGCTGGAGAAGAGTATTGAGGGTACCATGGACTGCTAGGAAAACAAACAGATTCATCCTAGAGAGGGTTAATTAAACTAGTCTTCTCCTTGGAGGCAAGGATTCTGAGGCTCCGTGTAACAGACTTTGGACATCTTGCAAGGAGGGACCGGTCCTTGGAGAGGGACATCATGCTTGGTAGGGTGGAGGGACAGTGCAGGAGGGGAAGGCCCTCTATGAGATGGATTGATTCAGTGACTGGAGCAATAAGAATAAATGTATCGGAGATAGTGCGATTGGCACAGGACAGAGCAGAGTTTAAGGCTGTTGTACATAGGGTCGCTTTGCGTCACAAG